AGCCTCGACCCCCACCAGTCTCCTCCTCCCACTCTAGGATTTAGAGAGCAGTGTGGCGGCCAGCAGGGGGCACCAGAGGATCAGCAATGTCGCGGAGGTGGGCTTGCTGAGATCTCTCACTCGAGCTTGCTCACCATCACCCCCCCCAACACGCACCCCGCCCCCCCCACCTCCGCGCGCTCCGATCTAGAGCAGATCAAGGCCACGCGGTGGGCGTGAGCAAAGGGGTCAAGAAAGCGGAGAGCAGAGCCAGGGGGCCGCAGTGAGCTCAAGGTCACTGCGGGCAGTTACCTCCCGGCCAGGACCCCAAGGCGCTCTTTTCACACCCACAGTCTCAAATTTAAGACGTTAGACCTCAGGCCAAATGGGCTTATGCTCTGACCAGATCAAGAAAAGCATCCATCATAAAGTAAACATATAAAATGTGTGATTTATGTTACCGTGGTTTGTAATTTCTTTATATTTTAATATTCTGCAAACCCCAAAAGATGGTACTGGCCCTGAGTCTGTTATCTTCCCAGGGACCTTGCCCTAGACCCTTTTTTTTCCGTCTGGGACAGGGAGCGGGGATGGGGGGAGGAGGGGTTCTTTAGCTTCTTGCCTATCCCTCAACCCCTATCCCACCACACACACCCCTACACAGCCTTCACTCAGCACTGGGTTCTCAACTTCAGTTTTCCTTCCATTCTTGCCAGATCCCCCATTTCTCTCTTCAACCGCCGCACCCCTGCCTCAGTTAAACACTTTCCGTCCTTTTTTTCTTCTCAGCCATCTGTCCCAGGCCCAGCCCCTTTCCTCACCCTCACACACCCCTGCACTCGGGAGGATGCCCCAGGGGCCAGGCTCCCTCACAAGGAGGCCCCTCTACCAAAACACCATTTATTGGTCATGGACACCAGACCCTGCCTCCCAGCCCTGGACGCCAGCATCGAATCAGGCCTAACTTCCTCTCGAAGCTCCTGAGGGGTAAATGCACAAGCAGGGACCCCAGCTGGAGTAGGGTTAGTGGGGCAGCGGTCAAGGAGCAAAGCCTGGGTTCCATGTGTGGTCCACAGAACCCGATGACCTGTTGCTAGGTAACCAGAGCTCCTTTCACGTCCCCCAACACGTCATCCTGACCGGCTGATCAGCAGCCCCCAGCTATCTTCCTTGGAGTCTCTCAGACCCCTCCGCTCCCTGTGGACCCTGAAAAGCAGGAGGAAGGGAGAAGGGAGAGCCCAACCACTAACCCTGATCCATTTGTGGCTCCACTACCAACTGTTTCACTGTGAAGATTCAGTTGCCTGGGCCATTAGGTCATTGCCACCATGAGCCTGGGCATCATGGAGGAGGAAGATCTGGCCGAGTACTTCCGGCTGCAGTATGGGGAGCGTCTGCTGCAACTGCTGCAGTGAGTGTCTGAGGGTCTGGGCGACCCCCTCTCTGCCTAGGATCCCCCACACCCATCCTTTCCCCTCCTTCCCCTTCTACTCCCAGTGTCTCATATCACCCTGCCCCATCACCCTGGCACCAATCCACCTGCATTAACCTGGATCCCCACTCCTTATTACCCTGCTTCAGCTTGCTTCTCAGATACTAACACAGCCCTTTCTCCCTCTCAACACACCATTACTTTCACTCCAGTGAGGGACGGGACCCCCTTCCCTTCCCATGGGTATCTTCATGGGTCACTCCCAGTACCAGCCTACTCAGGTACTCAGAACCCACGAGACCCCTTTGCCTATGTCTTGGGCAGGAAATTTCCCAACATTGAGGAGCAGTCGGAGTCCCCATCCATACGGCTACTGGAGAAGAAAAAGGAGGCCAAGATCATGCACCATGCTATGTTGCAGAAGAAGGAGGTGTGGGAATAGGGGGTGGGTACAGGAGGGGCCACGGGGCTCAGAGGGAGCCTGAGGACAGCCCTTCATTTTGTGGGTGGCGGTGGCTAGAACCAGGGGTCCTGGGTGGTGATTCTGTGTTCCCTCTGTGGAGACAGAAACAATTCAAGCCTTGCGGGTACCAGTGTCCTGGGATGCTCTGCTCTGAACCAGGGATGGGGTGGAAAGTGGGAGGCCTGGGGATAGAGGCACTGGGGCAGGGGATGCTGGGGCCTTCCTTGGTATCCAAGTCAGGGCCCTCCTGACCTCTCTGCTTCCCCACCTCCAGACATTTCAGCGCAGAATGGAAACCCTCAACCTGCGCTGGGAGGAACTGGGCATTAAGGAGGCCCAGCTGAAGGCCCATATTCAGAAGTTTGAGCAATTCATCCAGGTATGAGGGATTTTGGCCTGCTGCAGCAGGCCAGGGGCCCCCACACTCTGCGGTCCCCTTCCCCTTCCTCCTCCTCTTCCATCTCCTCCTCCTCGTTGCTTTGGCTGACTCCTCATCCTGAGTTAGATGTCTCTTCCATGCTCAGCAATGCCTGGGGCTTCTCCTTTTACATCCTCACTTATTGCTGTTTATAATTTCTTGTTTACCTGTTAGTCTCTGCCCCTTCTAGATTGCCATTTACCATTTCCTTACCCATACCTGGTACATACAATTTATCCAATGAATGAATGAAGGGATGATGATGATGAATGAATGAATGGATGGATGAATGAATGAATGTGCTATGGTCAGGGCTAGGCACTGGGAGACAAAGATGAGTCAGGATTTTAGTTCTCCCTACTCACGCCTCCCCACCCTCCTGGAACTGAGGGTCCAGGGAGGGGTGGTTGAAGGACCAGAGTCCATTCTGAGGCAACTCCTCTCAACTGGTCCTTTGAGGAGAGATTTAGCCATTTTAAAATCCAGGTTTCCACAAGGAGGAAGGGCCTGGCCCAGCTCCAGGGAGTAATCGCTGGCCTTTGCTACAGGAGAGTCCTGCTCTTAAGCATCTTGTCTTGCTCTGTGCCTAAACCAGGTGAGCAAGGAAACTGATGGACCAAGCATCTTTTCCAGAGATCCAGTCTTTCTTACTGGCCAGAGAAATGCTAGCAGAGTGGTTGGGGCAGTAGGAGGTTTGAGGGTGAGGGGTTCTCCAATTGGTTACCAGAGGACCGGCAGTGTCAGAATCCCGGAAAGCTTGTTACAAATAGACTCCTGGGACTCTCCTCTCTCTTTGCTTTCAGTAGGCCTGAGGTCAAGGTCTAGCAACTGTATTTTAAATCTTCCCAGGGGATAGCGATGCACAGTTGGACTTGAAAATCACCGGTTTAGGGCCCCTCAGTCCTCTCTTGGGCTTATGGGGCACCGTGCAAATCTGCCATGTGCCTTCTTCACATGCCTCCAAGTGTTCACCAAATACTACCACCACACATGCCAATCCAGTAGATTCACAGGAGCCCCTGAAGAGGGAAAGAAGCCACAAAAATGCATTGTGGGGATGGGTTTCCCCCTAATCTTTCAGAGAGAGCTTTGCAAGAGGAATAGAAGTGTGGTCAGCTCAGTTGTAGTAGCTGAGCCTCGTGTCTTTTCCTGGGTATCAAATTGCCTGCACCATCTCCTCCTGCCTGATCCTGATGCCAGTCTGAGCTACTAGCTACATGCTCTATGAAATGGCCTTGCCCTATCAGGCCCTCTGGACCAGGCCCATCTCCTATCTCATCTCTCGATAACTTGAGCACTATTGCCCCAGCTTTTGGAAGGAAGAGAGGGGCTACTGCCTCTCATTTTTCACAGTTGGAGAAACTGAGCCACCAAATACCAAATCAGGAGAAAATTCAAGCCTCCTTGCTCATATGGGTGGCCCAGTGATCCCTCTCCATCCTCAGTGGAGCTCAAGCTCAACAAAAAGAAGCCTTATGGGGGCACCATCAGCCTGGGCCCCAAGGAGGGCGGGACAAATGCCTGACAGATGCCACCTCCCTGGCCCCAGGAGAATGACCAGAAACGGATCCGAGCGCTGAAGAAAGCCAACAAGGAGCGAGACCTCAAGAGGCAGCGCATGCGTGAGCTGGCGAAGGCCAAGCAGGAGATGGCAGCCCTGCGGCTGGAGCACCAGCGACTGAGCAGCAAGCTGCAGGACTACTCCATCTTCAACAAGTACCTGGAGAAGGTGGTGGAGAACTCCGAGGTGAGTGGGTTGGGAGTTTCTTCCTCAGCCCCACTTCCCCTTCCCTAGGGCATGGGGTTATGGGGGCTTGGGGCCCCTCTGCAGGGGTGGTCACCTCACTCTGAGGACATGCCTCCAGCACTAAAGGGCAGCTAGAAAAGGGCCCCGGTAAGTGTTGGGGGCCAGGTGGTATATCTTGGTGTCTGTGTGAGTGAGCTGTGTAAATGTCTGTCTATGGGTGATGTGTGTGTTGGGAGAATGAGGTTTCTTTTTGCAGCACCAACAGTAAGCTTTGCCTGCATCAGGATGTGGCCTACTTCTATCCCTGCTTCTCCCCCTCCCTGGTGTTTGTGTTTACTTGAGAATAAATGGGAAGAGGAAGGGAGAGAAACTGGAAAGCACTCAATCTAATGCAGAGCTTGAGAGCTTAGTATGTGCTGGGCCCTGAGCGAGGTGCATAAACTTCATTCTGTCCACTCACTAGTCCCCAGAAGAAAGCCATCCATCATGCCGCCTTGTTGCGGAGGAGGAAATGGAGGCTCAGAGAGGTTAGGTAACCTGCTCAGGGTCTCACAGCCAGTCAGTGGCAGAGCCTTTGCTTCTAACCACTCCTCTGTGGGCTTCACATTGCCATTGACAACTACTCTTCCTAAAGTCATCCAGTTGTCAGAGCTACGGGAACTTCTCCACCCTCTTCCCACCCATGCATCCTGCAGTACAGTTGACCCTTGAACAACACAGGATGAACTGTGTAGGTCCACTTATACACAGATTTTTTACAATAGACACTTTGAGAAAGCTCACAGATGAGTGAGTAGCCTAAAACATGACATAAACTTACAGTATCGATAAATATAGTACAATAATATAAATGCGCTTTTTCTTCCTTATAATTTTCTTAATATTTCTCTATCTTACTTTATAGTAAGAATATAGCATATAATACATATAGCATTCAAAGTATAAGTTAATCGACTATTTATGTTATGAGTAAGACTTCCAGTCAACAGACTATTAGTATTTAAGTTTTGGGAGAGTCAAAAGTTATATGAGGACTTTATCCAGTAATAAATTATTGTGACCCTGGAAGTTCCCATGGGCTTTGTGTCTTAACAAAACTTAAAAGATCTGAGTTCATTGACTAACAAAACAAAACAAAAATTATACTTGGATTTGCCACTGCACTGGAGATCAGCGTCCCTAACCCCTGAGTATGCCCTCTCTGGTAGGGATCGATGTCCTGTGGAGGGCGTGGAGAGACAAAGGATGCAGAGCTTTTTAAAGCCTCAGCAATTTCCATATAGAATGATTTACTTAATTTATGTATATGTGAGTCCCTAATCTGTGTTATTTCCTCCATTCTAAGGTACTACTTATTGTACCATAAATTGTTCATTTAACAATTGGGTTTGTTGTTGTTGTTGTTGTTGTTGTTGTTGTTGTTGTTGTTTGGTGGGGGTGGGGATGAGAGAAGACCACTATATTAAAGCAGAAGTTAAATGATAAGATATGACTCAGATTCAGAGCTGATAAAATGTATGTCTTAGAACTGAGGAGACTGGCCAGTATCTCGCTGGCCCATATCTCTCTCCTGAGCTTCAGGCCCCTACATCCAATTTATTGAGTCCACAACTGATCTCCTCTGCTTCCTGCCATCCCAAGCCAGCCTCCTGCTGGTGTGTCTGGTGCTGGTGAATGGCATAGCCCCCACCCACAGCCCCCAACCACAGCCTCATCAGAATTTGAGCCTCATCCTTGACTCCTCCTCTTCCCTCATTCCCCGCAGCCATCAATCAGCAAATCTGGTCTATTCTGCCTCCTAAGTATTTCTGGAATCCAGCCCCTGCCCCTTCCTCATCCAGACCACCAATGTACCCCATCTGGAGTTCAACTTTGCGTTATTCCTGGCCACCAGCCTGTCCAGCATTCTACAGCCAGCGTGGTCCCTCTTTCTCTCTCTTTCCTTTCTTTTTCTTACAAAATATTTTAAACATACTGGAAAGTATAGAGAAATATATAACAGCACCCAGTACTCACCACAGCTTTGTCAAATCTTAATATTTTCCCTTATTTGCCCCCAATTCTTTTTTTCTTTAATAAAACACTACAGGTAATTGAAACCCCTTGTGTATGCCCCTTCCGACCCGGTTCTTCCTCTCTCCTCAAAAATAACCAGATCCCTGATTTTCTGATTTCTCATTCACATGCTTGTTTTTATTGCTTTGTCAACATATTACATATCCATAAACTATAAATAGTATTGCATATGTCCTTTGTGACTTTTTATCAATATTTTAAAAAACTTTTTATTATGAAAAATTTCCAGCATATACAAAAGTAGAACAAATAGTCTATTAAATGCCCATTACTCATCAGCTAATTTCAGTTATTATCAACTCATAGTCATATCCCCCATACCTCCCACCCCTGCCATTTTGAAGCAAACGATATTTTTTTATCCGTAAGTATTTTCCTTGAAAAGAGAAGGGCTCTTTTTAACATAGTCACAATACCATTGTCACACCTAGTAAAATTTTGATAATAATTTCTTAATATCAAATATCCAGTTGATGTTAAAATTCCCCCAGTTATTGCACAAATGCTTTTTAGACAGTGAGTTTGTTCCAATCAGGGTTCAAACAAGGTCCCCACACTGCACTTGGTTGATATGTTTCTCAAGTCACAGACATTATTATGCTGATCAAAAGCCAGACATAAAAAAGAACATACTATATGATTCCACTGATATGTTTAAAAACAGGTAAGATGAATCTTTGGTAATAGAAGTCACAATTCTGGTTTTCTTAGGAGTGGGGGACAGATACTGACTAATGGGGGCAGAAGACCCTTCTAGGGTGCTAGAAATGTTCTATCACTTCCTCATATATAGCTAGAATACGACCATAAAGAAAAGGACTTCATAAGGAGAACCTTCCCCTCATTAATTATATGATCCCCATGTGGGTCTTAAAGAAGCCAGTTAAATGCTCGATTCTTTATTACAGTTTTCAGAATAATAAGTTGGCTCTCCAGCATCCTCTAAAAGTGACCTGTAATGATGTTGTCATTTTGAATTCATGGATTTTTAATATATTTGATATGTTTCAATCCTTTGCACTTATTCTCACTGATGGTCAAAGTGTCGCATCTTTGGACAGTGGAAGTCCCTTCAAAGTGAGTCCTTTTGCCATCAGCATTAAGTTTTGAAGAGGTGCTCCTGGTAGCTCTGATGTAGTCCATTCATTTTAACTTGTGTGCTGTCGTTGCATCATGTGCTGAGTGAACTTTCAGAAATACAGACATGAAGTTATCTCTCTGCTTCTTAAAATCCTTCAATGGATGAAGTTCACACTCCTTCTCAGGGTTTACTGGGCACTGTTTTTTCACTTCTCCAGGTTGATCTCTCCCTCCCCATCTTGAACTCAGGCTATTCATACTGAACTCTCTCAAGCATCCTGAACATGCCACACACACCGCATCATCTTTACCCAGGCTGTCTCCTCTACCTGTACTTCCTCACCTTCCCCCACCTGCCTTTGCCTGGCTACCTTCTGTTCATATCTTTGGTCACATTCCAGCCATCCTTTCCCCCAGGAAATCTTTTCTGGCTATTCCTACCTCCTCTAATGCCGACTTGGGCGGCCCTTCCCCACAGAGACATATCTGGGGAAAGGTTAGCAGGGCAGTTCCCAGAACACCAATCTATCACTAGAAATGTCATGAAATGAACAAAGTGCTCAGGGAGTATCCCCTGGTGGCTGGAAGGCACACTTCGATAAACCCCTGGGGAGGTGAGTTGGCACCCTGGAACTGGTGTTCATACCGTCTTCCAAAGAGTGAGGGCTTCTCTTCTGCTGGGGTGGCCTGAGAGTTAGGACCAGTGTGGCATAGCTCAGGACCATGCTGGAGGGGGCAACTGAGCCTGGCAGGCTTCCTGCCCCACTGGTATCCTCCCCAGCTACTGCTGGAGGGAGACCTTAGCAAATGTTGAACAAATATCAGAGAATGCCATGTTGAAAATATTACACCCACAATCTCCATCCAGTCCCATCCCCCAGTCATAGATAGGGCTTATCGCTCTATGTTGTAACTGCCTATTTACTTGTCTGTCAGTTCTCCCTCCCTCCGCACCACCCCAAGTTGTAGGCTTCATAAGAGCAGGGTATGGCTTTCTTATCTCCTGCTCTGTCCCTAGTCTTTAGCATAGTTCCTGGCTTGTACTTGGTTCTTGGTACATTCTTGTTGAATAGAATCATTATTGCCTTGGGAGACATCTCAGAATGCACCTCCTCCCTTCCCACCCCCACCAGCAATTCTCAAGCCTAGAATCACCTTTTGCAAAATTCAGATGCCAGGGACCACCTCAGACCTGTTTATTAATCCAAATCTCTAGGGGTGGAGCCTGCCAAATGTCCTTTTAAAAGCTCCTGGGGTGATTCCAACATGCAGTCAAGACTGAGAATCCCAGGTCCAGTGGCATGTGCTCCCAACACATGGCCCATGACCCATGTCAACCTTAGAGGAGCAAGCAGCAGGACTGCAACATCCTCACAGGCTCTGCCCGGTTACCCTTGGCCCAGGCCAAAGCATCTAGACCAAGAGTTGGCGGGCAGCAAGGGCAGCTGTGCTGGCCCTCTGGGCTGGCAGGGCAGTGACCTGAGCCCTCCAATGCAGTTTGAAGAGATCCACGAAGTGATAGCGCGCTACAAGACGCTGGTGAGCATGCACTGTGACCTTATGCAGTCAGCCCAGGAGGGCCAGGAGAAGATCGAGCGCGCCAAAGCGCGGCTGGCGCGCTACATGGAAGAGAAGGACGACGAGATCCTGCAGCACAACAACGAGCTGGCACGCCTGCAGATGCGCTTTGACCGCGCCCGCAGCGATGTCATCATCTGGGTGAGCGGCCAGGATAGGCAGGGGGCTTCTAGGTACTGGGCGAAAGTAAGGGAAGGCATGTCTGTCTCTCTGTCTCTCTCTCTCTGCCCCCTTCTCCTTCCTCCCTCTCCCCCCACTTCCTCCCTCTCTCCCCTCTCTCCCTCTCCTGCTGCGTTCAAGGCCCGCCCTTATCCCCTCTCTCTCTGTCTCTCTGTCTCTCTCTCTCTCTCTGCACCCTCCTCCTTCCTCCCTCTCCCCCTACTTCTTCCCTCTCTCCCCTCTCTCCCTCCCTCTCTCTCCCGCTGCGTTCAAGCCCCGCCCTTATCCCTTCCCTAGGAATCTCGCTGGGCACACATCCAGAACACCGCTGCCAAGAAGACCCTCTTACTTGGCACCATTAAAATGGCAACGCTGAACCTCTTCCAGATCGTGAGCAAGCAGCTGAAGGAGACAACCTACGTGTCCCTGGAGGACACACACAAACAGCTGGACATGGTAAGAAGAAGCACAGGTGCCAGGTGGGCTGTGCCTACTGAGCCAAGATGGTTCTTGATTGGTTGAATCAAGGAATGAACAGGACAAAGCCATAGTTCTCAAATGTTAACAGGATCAGAATCACCTGCGGGCTAGGGAGTATTGATGGGCCCCACCCCCAGAGTCTCCGACTCAATAGGTCTGAGATGAGAACCCATGAATTTCCATTTTCAACAAGTTCCCAGGTGATTGGTGGTGCTGTTCTGGATTCCACACTTTGAGAACCACTGCATTAGAGCTAAGACCCTGTCATTCCAATCAACTTGAGCAGTAGCAGGTACCCACTATGAACTCATTGGTTCTATACAATAGTCTTATTAAATTCTAGTGAGTTGCCGAAGGCTTGTGCCTGAGGCCCATTCTTTGGGAAGAGAGAAAATTGGTGGAATTAGAGTCATGTTCGTACCCATCTGAGATTTTCTCTTTGAAGTAACTGAAAGGAAATTGAAAAGGAAATAACTTTTTCACTGTATGATCCAAAGCTATTTGATGCCATGTCCATATGCCACCTAAAATCATCTCACTTCTGACCAAAGGTAAACACATCCTACAATTTGGGAAACTCCCCACCAGCAGGGCATTAGCCTTAGCTCTTCAGTGAATAGAAAGTAAGCTCCTGAGGACTGTGATTTTTGTTTTGTTCCCTGCTGTATCCACAGTATCAGGAACGATGTCTGGCACATAGTAGACACTCAATAAGTATTTGATGGATGAAAATGAAACACAAGCCAAAAAAAGCAATGGACTGACAGGCACTTCCCCTATTTAACCAAAAAAGGCAAAACTTGATAAAATGTAAAGAACTTCACCTACTGGTCAGGAAGAAGCGTTTCCCAAACCAAAAAATCAGCCTGCTTCTTAAGGCATGTTAGAGCAGAATTACTGAGAGTCCAATGGTTGTAAAGGGAATTTGTAAGAAAGTTTGTTCTGAAGCAGCAATTCTCAAACTCTTTGGTATATGGATACCTTTATGCCCTTAAAATTTATTGAAGACCCTCAAAGAGCTTATGTTTATATGGGTTCTATCTATTGATATTTACCATATTGGAAACTCGAACAGAAAAAAGTTAAATATTTCATTCATTTTTAAATGACGATAAGAAGCATGTTAATATAAATAGCATTTTTAATGAAAAACACATTTTCAAAAAATATTTTGTGGGAAAAGTTATTATTCAACACTTTTGAAAATCTCTTTAATGCCTGGCTTCATAGAGGGCAGGTAGATTATCATATCTGCTTCTGCATTCATGCTGTTGTGATAGCCTAAGTCATGGAAACATCCCACTCTGGTAAAAGCCACTGTACAGTTGTGAGACAATAAGAGTGAAAAAGATAAATAACATCTTACTATTATTGTAAAAAGAGTTTTGGCCTTGCAGCCCCTCCGCCCAGCAGTAGGGTCTCAGGGATTCCTGGAGGACCTCAGGTCCCTTTCCTTTAGCTGTTGTAAAAAAAAAAAAAAAAAAGGTAGGGCAGGATTTGGTGATCTCCATCTTTGCCCCTTCCTGAACATTCCCTGCTTAGATTACAGCTTCCAACCCGTCCACTGCAAAATTTGAGCTTTCTGACTCCTTCCCAATCTTGATTTGCCTCTACAGGAATACTCCATATTGCCCAAATGTTATTTTAAAATATCCTACTTCATTCCCATAGGATATGAGCCTGCTGACAGAAATACAAATGATCGAGTAGCCTGAAAAATTTAAAAATAAAGACCAGGAAAAATATGTTAAAATCTGAGGTCAAGGCAAGAGAGAGAAATAAAGACCAAAGATTCTTGTATTATGAAGGACAGTAGTTCAAAAGGGACAGCAGTTGGCTCTGAGCTTCCTGGTAACCAGAAAGAAAAGCAACACAGTTCTGGTACCAAAATAAGAAAACATAAGGTTTCCTCAGAGAGAGAGAATCTTTTCTAGGACTTAACTCTAACTGAAATTTCTCAAGGAGGCTTTAGAGACACTCAATGAATAATGTTCCCAACAATATCCCTATGACAGATCCAATCACAATCTTCAGAAGGCAGCCATTTATCTAGAACTAGAAGCATGGTACCACAGTACGACTTAGGAAAAGTGATTCTACAAAAGGCCAAGACAATTTGAATTCAATATACTGTGTCTTGGAGGGCCCAGAATTATCCTTGAATAAAGCTCAAACTGTCTGGAGCAGCATTTTCCAAACTGTTCTTGGGAAATCCTAGAATCTCAAGATGTTAGTATGTTTCCTATAGGGGGACTAAAAGGACTCTATGGAATAATAAATTTAGAAAACTCTAAAGTTAAACAAAGTTAGATGATTTTTAAATACGGGACTTTGCAGAGTCTTTGCTGTGGTTCTTCCCTGAGACTCTCTAGGCAGATAACGTTTCTGAAACTTACTTGATCACAGAACGCTTTTGGGGATATGTGATTATTTATTATATGAACATAGTTTGAAAAATGCGAGACTCGTCTTCTCGATAACCTTGAGAAAGTTACCTTAATTCATTGACTTTTTTTTCGTTAATTCAACAAATACTTATTGGCTTCTTGGTAATTCACTGACTCTTTATTTTCTCATTTGCAAAATAGAAATTATATCAGTAATAGTAACAGTATTAGTGACTGACAGTTATTGAGAGTTTCAGACTCTGTGTAGTCCCATCTCCAAGAACATTTTTGCAAAGGAGAAATTTTAGAACTGAGATCTTGGAGGCCATCTAGGCCAACCTTTTCTCCATCTTCTCTTTATAAAGATAAAGAAACTGAGTCCTAGAAAGAAGAAGGGATTTTCCTAGAGGTGCATTGGATCCCCAGGTCTTCTGATTGCATGTTCTTTAAAAGAGAAGCTAGTGAATAGAATATAAACTTCTCTAGATGACTCAAGATTATCATAATGAGCATCAGTTCTGGGTTTTAGGTAAATAACCACCAGAAAGGTTATTAAATTGTGGAGAACCGTCTGCCTCATTGCTGGCTGGACCCTGCCTGCTACACACTTCTCATCCCCAGTCTGCTCAGGGTCCTCTCTCTCTTCTCCCTTTAGTTAGATGATCACCCTGTACTTTCTGCTGTCACTGTGTCTGTCTCTACAAGTTCCCAACTCCGTTCCTATTTATTGCTTTTAGTCTTCTAAGCCTGATCCTCCATTTCAACTAAAATAATTGTTAAATAAGGGAAAGTGGCCACAAGAAATCAGTCACAGGAAAATGGTGACTCCTTACATGCCTGGACATGCTTTTTTTTTGGATGGAGTGGCCTGTTGCTGGGTGGGGTTAACTCTGGTCCCCTTGCCTTGTTAGATTCAACAGTTTATCCAGGACCTGTCGGACATCTGGGCAGAGGTGAAGAAAAAGGACCAACAGCAGATCCGGTTTTAAGGAGTAGCTATGGTTCCAGAATGTTCTGAAGCAGGGACTGTAAGAGAATAAGTTCCTGGTGAGCTCACAGTCCAGCCAGCCCCGTCCAGCCTTCTGGGACCCCTGTGCCTTTCTGCTGGCAGACACTCTGCCATTCCCCCTCAGGCCTCAATCCGTCCCATCCCGGAAAACATTAAATTCTATAAGAATTTTGTTCCTAAGTTCTCTCTCTTTTTGGTTGTTTATTCATAGGGAAGAGGGTCCATCAAGAAGAGAAGCCCCAAAAGCATTCTTTCTTGAGGCTGATCACTTAGGCTGCCTAGGGTCTAGAAACTAAATCTCAGGTCTGGTGTCTCCTAGGCTTTGGACTTGCACACATTATTCACATGGTCAGCAGACCAATGGGATGAGTACACGGGACTCTTTTTTCCTTGACCATTTCAAAAAAAAAAGTTAAGTTGGTGTTTCTAATTGGGGTACAGAGGCTCACTAGAAACTATGAAGGAAGCTTCCCAAGTCAGAGTTCCAACTCTTCCCTGACTTTGGGAGCAAGCCCTGCTCTCCCACGCTCTGTGAACCCTAAAACTACAGTATGGTATCAGCAACACTGACGTAGGAATAGCAGGCAGGCTGCCAAATGACAGCAGGCTGGGAAGATGGCTCAAAGCCAGCAAAACTAAACTGCAAAGAGGTAAATGTAAAGTCTGACACTTAGGGTCAAAACCTCAGTTGCACATTTCTAAATCATCGATGGCAAAAGTCATGTCAGAGACTAAACGAAGGAAGCAGCACTTATTAAGCATACGCTTCATGTTGATCATCCCAGTGAAAACTCTGTGCGGCACCATTTTCCCTGTCTTACCTAGCAGGCCACTTGCCCAAGGACACTGGCTACAAGGCGTCAGGATTCATGCTGGGTCTGCCTGCCCTGGGCTTGGGCTCCTTTAGCTGGGCTGCCTCTCAGAAGACAGAACTGCTGCTTTCCCCTCCAAAGCAGACTGAGGAACAGGCCAAAACAAGGCTCCTCGTTTGCTCCCTGGCCCTATGATCTCAGAGGGATTCTGGGGTCCCCATTACCTCCAGGAGACAGTGCTGCTGCAAGCTTCCCCGCTGAGATCCTGCTGTGGATAGAGGTACCCCTCATCTTTGCATATACCACTTTACAGCAATGGTTCTCAGCATGGCTCCCAGACAAGCAGCATCGTCACCTGGGAACTTATTAGAAATGCAAATTCTCAGGCCCCACTACAGACCTGAAAATCAGAAACTCTGGCGGGACCCAGCCTATGTGTCTTAACAAGCCTTCCAGGTGATTCTGATGCATGCTTAAGTTTGAGAAACACTGCTTTACAGTGAACCAAACACTTTCAAGAACTTAGGCTCCTTTCATCTCCTAACATGTGAGGTAATACATGCCAGTAATAACCTGTATTAGTCAGAAAAGTAGAACCACAGAAGATATATAAAGATGTGTACAATGGGCTTCGCTACAGGGATTTGACCTTAGGCAGCTGTAGGCTCTGATTAAGCAGTCTCTGCAAAGCTATCATCTTCACATCTGATGCTGGACCTTGAAGCCCACAGTGGGAGGTAGTTGGGAAAGAAATACAGATGTAAAGTGGGGAGATCAAGAGTAAGTCAGAACCCATATGCACAAGCAGGGCCCGTGGGGACGGACAGAAACTGATGGCAGTTCTTGTCACTTCTGAGCCTAGCGGCGTGTGTGTCCTGCAGAAGCCAGGGTGCTTCATCATGGAGCTGAACACACACACATGGCCCAGGACTCAGAGCACCTGAAGGAGGATCCAGGGAGAGCGGAGGACGGTGGCCGAGCTGCTGCCTCGCAGGGGTGAGGTGATGAGGTGAGCCAGCAGAGCAGCACGGGCGTGTGAGAGAGACAGAGTAGCTGCCACTTCACTGCCACTCTCCAAATCTCTATGATGTAACTGCATTCTGTGGAAATACCCAGGAAAAGAAGTTCTGAGAAATATAGTTCAGTCTAGCCAAGCTACCACGTCCCCAAGCCTCTACACTACCATTATCTCTGTTTCACAGGTGAGGAAAAGAGTAGGGGATTGAGCTGCCTGGCCCTGACCAAAGAAACGTTTCTGTGGAAGGGGTTGAAGGGAAGAGGGCATCTGGCAAAGCCAGGAGGGGGCAGTTCTGGGGGTAGTGCTCAGAGGGGAGCGAATAGAGTCTCTCACTGGAAGGAGACGTCGGGGCCTTCCAGAAACAGGCCTATGGGTGAAGGATATGCCTCTACAAAGCTTCCTCTCACTTTTAAGCCTCTCGAGCTGTGTCCTAGGAGCAAAAGGCGTTTCAGGACAAACAGGTCCTGCAAGCCCCCAATATACACATCCCCCACTGTTTTCTACTGTTTCTGTGAGGTACTCTTTGAGAAGTCCAACCTACAAGGACTGAACACACTTCTTGAAAGTTGAGGGCACTCTCAGCCAGCCCCGCTTCTCAGGTCTGAGCCGAAAACCCTCTCTCTCCCTTACCCTTCTCTCTCCCTCCTGGCTCCTCTGATTGAGCATCAGGTTTCCTGCTTGATGGAAATGGGGAGTTGTGAAGAGTCGCACTTAGAATTCCTGTGATCACACACAAGCTTATCTTAATCCACACATGTTTACAAACATATGTATAGCTCACTCTGATACTACTGCATTTTTCAGATTTCAGAAGGGCCCAGGCTTGGAGAAGAAGAAATTCTGTGGATCTAGGCTGATTTCTTGATTACAAGTGAAGCCACAAATCTATAAACTCATTCCCAAACCCACAAACAGGGCAGAGCAAATCCAGACAGTTCAGGGATTCACATAAGCCGGAGCCAGAGGGCTTCCCATCAGGAATGGGGCCAGGCAGTAGTCACTCCTTCTCCCCAGTCCCTCAGCATGTCCACCCTGGGCCCGGAACTCACAGAAAGAAGCCAAAGACTGCCCAATCAAGAGAGATTGGGGCTCCTAGATGCATGAGATCATGTTCCAAGAGAAAGAAGACAGAGTTAAAGGCCGACTAGAGTTTTCCCAGCAAGAAAAGACACCAACTCATTAAAGCAGAAATAACTAATTGGTTCCAGAAATGAGTGGTTCTCATCAGCAAAGACAGGAAGTACTGCTCCAAGTGTTTTCTGGGTAAAGAGAGGCAAGACCTTTAGGAACTCACTTTCAATGCTAGAACACCTCATTCCCCTCAAACCCATTAGCTCTTTCTGACAGAAAGGGGAGGGAGAGAGGGAGGAAAAGGAAAGAGGGGGGCCTCAAGGTGTGAAAGAGCTCAGCCTGCAGGCAGCCAAGCAGGCGGACATCCCCTTGTCTGTCACATACTCCACGCCACACACACAGCCCCCAAACAGCAGTTGATGTTCAAAAGCTGCTGGTGAGAAAGGAATTGGAACAAAGAATTGAAAGCTTGTAGGAGTGACCTTTCTCTCTCTGGAGTAGCTAAAGGGTCTATGCTTCTGTGGGATTAGCTACTGGCCTTTGGGATCAGAGCCCTTCCTCACACAATTTTACCCTCACGGTCCCTTTCCCAGACTCAGGGCCAGAGTCCCACATCTTATATACAAGGTTTTCAGCCAGCTGGAGGGACTCTGGAAACTTCCTCTTTTCATTTCAAGCCATTTTAGGGTTGCTCACTTAGGCACCTGAGCAAGCTCCTTTGCTCTGGGACTTTTAATCCAGAAATATCTACCAGAATTGTTGTGTGTGCATAGCAGGGAGCTGAGGGCAAGCAGAGGCCCCTGCCCCAGGAGCTTGTCTTCCCCTGGGAGATAAGAACCTGCTGAGAACTGTAACACCAGTTCAGTATAGGCCTACCTCAGCTTTCCTCGCCTGCAATGGCCTGATGTTCCCCTAAGCTTTAACTCTATGAAACTTTTAACATTTTGAAATTGAGAAGGCTCCCATTGGAGACCACAGAGTCAGGAATGATAACAGCCAGGCTTGGAAGCATCCAGAGTGTGGTAATACCACCCTCTAAGGAGCAAATAATCATTTTAGGAACTTTATGAGGAAACAAGCTAGATCTAGAAACATCCAACAGAGCAAAAGTCAGCTGCATAGTGATATGAAATAGATTGTATTAATTTTCCAGTCTGCATAACAAACAACTACAAACTTGTCTTAAAACAACACACACTTATCTCAAAGTAGTAGGTTAGAAGTCTGTGTGGACTCAACTGAGTTCTCTGTTCAAGGCTGAAACCAAGGTATTAGTAAGCCCGGCTCTGATCTGGAGAGTCTGGGAAAGAATCCACTGCCCAGCTCGTTCAGGTTGTTGGCAGAATCCAGTTCCTTGCAGCTGTGTGTCTAAAGTCCCCATTTCTTTGCTGGCTGCCAGATGGAGTCTGCTCTCTGCCCCTACTAGAGGCCACCTGCATTTCTTGTCATGTGCTATGGCTTCCATCTTCGAAGCCAGCAATGGAGCCACTGTCATGCTTTGAATCCCTCGGACTTTCTCTTCCAAAACCAGCCAGAGAAAACTTTTTGCTTTTAGTGGGCTCATGACATTAGGGTAGGCCATCCAGATAATCTCCCTTTTGCCATATAACCTGGGAGTAACACCAGTGGGCAAAGGTCACATGGGTTGTTTTAAAACTTCCTACCACACCGATCAAGAAAGGACATAAAAACAGCTTGAGAAGGAAGAGAAAGGGGGAGAGGAAGAGGGATGTGATGAGGTTAGTCAAAGGCCAGGATGCGGTGTGACTGGAAAGAAATCCTTCAGATGTGCACCTGGCCTAATATTTACTAGTGATATTTTCATCAAGACAGGGTTTTCCTGGAGCTCATAGTCCTCCAGGGAGTTAAAGAATGGGCCTGAGTCAGTCTGGGAATCTCCTGATGTTTTATGAAATGTTTATACCCATGCATTATGATTTTTCATGAGTGAGGTGAATGGGGGTGGGGGCAGAAGAAAGTCCATATCTTTCAGTAGATTCTCCCAAGAATTTTTACCCAAAAAGTTTAGGAACTACTGCTTTAAAAAAAAGAAAAAAAGTGATAGCTCTATTGAGATAT